CCTCACGACCTACAGTTTCTCAGGGATCAGTCGACCCCACAAAAAAGGAAAGAAAGAGGTGCTGATCACCTCACATCCAATCGGCAGACCTAGTACAGGTTCTGCCCTGGCACACGACCAGAAAAAAAGGTAAGAGAGAGAGAAAAAGGTTACTTCAATGTGTGAGATCTTCAATCAGCCGAACTGCAGATGAGGGCGGCAGATCTGGACATCTGGTGCGAAGAAGAAAAAGGACTGTTCACTCGACTTCTCCTTTCAGATCTGGTAGTCCTGCTCTGGTACCATGTTTTGCAGGAGAGAAGAATGAAAGAAGAGAGAAAAGAGAGAGAAGAAGAGAGAAGAGAGAACTGAGAACTCAAAGATACTGCTGGCGGCACAGCCTTTTAATATATATACTAGGGCGACAACTAAAATAAAAAAGGAGAAAAAGTACAATAGTACCCTGCAGTACTATACATAGGAAAAAATAACAGCTGTTAACATTATCTCTACAGTTGCCTTGCCCTTATTTTGTCCAGATCTTTCAGGTTCACCATTCTCAATTCTGAGCCTTAATCAGTCTCTCAAGTCTCATCTCTTCTTCTGGTCGGAAATAATCAGATTGCTAAGGCTTCTCCACACCATGCTTGCCATTTATTAGATAATGGTTCATTTTTCTCGTTCATTCCTCCTCTATCCTCTACATCCAACTCCTTGGAAAAGCTGTTCATCCTGTATTTCTGTCCTATATTTGTATCCCAATTCCTTATTGCTCCTAATTTTCCTGGTCAAATAAAATATTTTCTACTACTAGATTAGCTTCATTTAGGAGTCTTTCATCTTCATAGTTTACTTATCCTTCTATTGCTTTCAATCAGGCCCCTCCACTATCCGTTCTTTCATTCTTCTATCTGCTTGCTGTCTGTCAATTTCCATAGTTTCTAGTTCCACCTTTTCCTTCTGAAAAACATGAGATTGGACTTGTAAAATGATAGAAGAACAGAAAGAAAGAAAGAAAGAAGAAATGAGAAAAGACGAGAGAACTTTTGGAGAAAGAATCTTGGAGTGGCTGATGGTGTCCACTCCTTTATTTTACTAGTGTGACATAATTTTAAGTAAAGGTAAAAAGACTACTGTTAGAGTCGGCTGTAGAAGGGTAGTGTAGGCTTTTTACATTAAGTTATATGTTAATTGTACTTATGAGTAGACATTAAGTTAGCTGATGTGGCTCTCACTTAAGTGAGGGTATAAGAGTAATTCTGGTTTGTTTAGAAAAGTATAAATAAAGGCTGGCCGACTAGAGAAGTAGATTTTTCTCTCTAGTTCGACTGGAGCAGTTTCTCTTCTCCTCTTCTTCTTCTTCTTCTTCTTCTTCTTCTTCTTCTTCTTCTTCTTCTTCTTATCTGAAATCGTATGGACACTACATCTGAG